GAAGAGTTTCCAAGCTTCAGAGGGGTAAAACTGGGTGTTAGGAAAGAGAAGCTTTTACTGGGAATATTTCCTAATGCATGTCACTGAAAGATCGTTACATAACTGCCGTGTGCATTCCAGGACTTGGGGCAGTCTATTTTTAATACCTGGTATGAAAGAACTTCCTGCTACTTTTTCTCTTTGAAGGCAGTTTGTGGTTCATTAGCTCATGTTGTCAGGACAATTTTCCTGCTATCCTTAAACCTCGTTTTTTTCCAGCTAAAAAGACAAAAAAGTGAAACTGTATCAAATGGAAGAAGGTGCTGAGCATAAAATACCATGAAGATTAAGGTATGTTGTGTAAATGTTGCAGTGGTCCCAGAACTAAGCGCTGCCAACTCAGGTTTAATATTAAACCTGAAAAGAAATCTGGACATGTTAAACACTTGCACTTCTAAGAAAAGCAAAAGAAGCTGTGTGCCAAGCAGCAGCACCTAGAATGAATTTTCAGCTTGATGCTTATGAAGATAGATGCTGGGTTACTGTTAATTAAAGTAGTTTTAATTCCATACTTTTCTCCATGCAGTGTTATCGCAGGCCACCACTATTTTGACTGTAATTTATACAGTCATGGTCAATAATATCAAATATTTTGCTTAAATGCAACCAAACTTCTTCAAACATGGGCTGTGCTAGGTGTTTCAGAATGTTTTAACTCTACTAGTTATAAGTTCACAGCATCAGTGCAGTTTTGCTCTTAAAATCCTAGACAAGCAGAGACTCATAAAGTGGCCAGAGGGACCACCATTTTCACCTCATCTGACTTCCTGCAAAACAAAGGCCACAGGACTTCCTGAATTAAGCTCTTTTCAAGCAAGAGCATATCTTCCAGGCAAACAAGAGACAGAGAATCCATTAGATCTGCTAAGAGAATTTGAAAGTGTTAATTTTGTAGACAAGAAAGGTGATGAATGTACTAGCAAATTAACAGGCAGTCCATTGTGTATTAGAATGGACCTGTGTGACTCTCATCCATAGCAGAGAAATGGAATGGCAATTTCAAATGCACAGTAGCATTCAGTGGTAATAGCTGCAACTGCTGCTGGGAACCTACTCTTGAAATCTCTAGTAGGGAGGCAGCGGAGCGTTGAAGTCAGATGACTGAACCAGGTAATACCCTCAGCTGTCCAACCTGCTCTGACATCCGTCACCATTGCAGGGATGCTTCAACGTAGAGAGCAGCACCCAAACACCCATAGTTTTCAGTTTGGTGTATGAAGGTAAGCAGCCAACTCTGGGAGATGGGGAGCACCTTTAAGGGCTGTTAGATTGTGCTTTCCGTGGGGCTTGTGATGGTAAACTGCACTAGTGAGGGTGTGGGGCAAGGGTACCTGCTTCACTCTGTGGGCTCAATCCGTTGGCACCTGCAGAACAGAGCTGGGGTATTTAAAACCCAGAGCTAACAAAATATTTGGGCTTCCCTTTCTTTTGCTCTGATGTTTCGGAGGAAAATTGATCAGAATTCTGTTGATCAGAAGCAATTCCTTTCCCCCACTTCTCCCTGCTGTCTCCATAAAGCTTCATCTCCATAGAACACCTTTTGATAACTTATTTCTGCACTTCTATAGGTCTTTCAAGTTGGTTTTGTTGCCAAAGAAATTGCTCCAGCCTTCAGCCCCAGTGTTCCCAGTCTCAGCCCCAGCACACTCCTTCCTCTCCCTCTTCACAGCAGAGCACTCTGGATCATAACCTTTATTTTCAGAGGAAATGTCTTCACCCCAAAACGTGAACTCTGACTGGATTCTGCTTATTGCAGCAAAGCTGGTATTAAGAAATTCATTACAGGTCACTTGAAAATCTTCCACATTTAGGCCAAAGTCACGGAACTGCTCTGCTTAATCTTGTCCACTGTGTCTTAGTAACATCTTATTTGTCACCATTTTCCGAGCCAAGCATCTGCCCCAGGTTTGGGGTTTGGCAGTTCCCAGCTAAACCACTGTAGTCGTTTTCAAGAACAAGGTTAAAACAATATTTTGCCCATATTAAAAAATAATAACCCAGTTGCCTCATTCAGAACTATCAGCATCCCCATTTCTCAAGAGAAGGAATTTGAACTGGAACACCATCACTGGCCTGCTTTCATCCATGTACCTCTTCAGTGGCAACTTGGAATTTGGCAGCACCACTGCTGTGGTTTCACAGATGCGCATCCGAACATGACAAAGTCAGAAGGCTCCACAGCATCTCGGTTTGCACGTGATGGGTTAAGAATTGTTAGCTTTTGGCAGCTAAATTTTCCAAAGATGAGCCTGTGCTGACAGAGCCATTCCGTGTTCAGCATCCGCCTGGCGTGCAGGCACCATGTGCAGCTCTTTCACAGAGCAACCCGGTATGCTCTTTGCCTGAGGCACTGGGAACCAAGCAGCCTTTCTCTGCTATATCTCCTCCTGCATTCCTAAGAGATTGATGTTTGTGACATCTGGGTACTCCTGTGTGCATCATCTCCCCTGTGTGTATCATCTCCCTTTCTTCTGTCGCTGCTGAGGCAGTGAGGAAAGAAGGCTGGGTCACCCAGGTGAAAGAGTTTGGGAGGAGGCTGGTAACTGGCAGAGCATGGGAGGGAGAGGAAAGTGAGAAGCAGGAGCAGATGAAAGAGGTAGATGCCAAGGAGACCGGTATTATTGACCAGTGCTAGGACTTCTCCTAGGACATCATAGACAGAAATCAGTTGTGGAAGCAGCTCTTCATGACTAGGGGTTAAAAAAAGATTATACATAATCTACATAATGAGATTCTGCTATGCAGTGGGGAAAGGGTATGATACATAAGGAGGTTAATAAGCATGATGGAGATAAAGATAAGATGCCAGGGGAAGTAATTAAGCAACAAAATAGAGGCTGGATGTGCATTTGAAGGAAAGGAATCTAGGAGGTGAAAACAGAGCATGAAGAGTGGAAAAAGGCAGGAGCCATGGAATGGATGTATGAACGAATCATGAAAGAGCAAGAGCTGGGAGTAATCTGACAAAACCACAGAGGAGAAAGAGAAGGCAGGAGCCAGGCAGAAGGAAGATTAGTTAGGAGCACCAAGGGAGAGGAGGAGTGTGGCTGCAGGCTGAACTCCTAAAGAACAGGCTGGGGTTTTGAGTCTGACATCAGTGCAAATCGTGATTTATCTGTAATGGTGTAGGAGCAGGAGCTGGGTATGGCTATCTATAGCCACACTTCTTTTTCTTGTTAGAGAACTTCTTTATCAAATATTCTGGATCTCTCGAGCCAGAGCTCCAGAGTTAAGGTGACCGCGTGTCACCATCTGTTTACTTTTCAGACTTCCTCTGACTTTATTAACAAACATTTGAAGAGCCTAAAGTGCAATCTGCTGCCTTTTTAGCCACAGTGAAAAACATCTCCGTAAAATACATTTGAAAACAAGTAATTCTGGACTTCTACGTGGGGCTGCCAGCAATGCCTCTCCCTGGCAGGGCAGAGCAGAGCAAAGCCCTGGGATCAGCTCGGTGGCCTTCCACTGTGGTTGTTTATCACCTAAGGGGGCTAGCAGCACCACCACCGCAGTAATTAGGCACACTTCATCACAGTGTGATGCCTTTGCAGTGTCATCTCCCACCAGCTAAGAGCAACACCGCCTGGAGAGAGATGGAGAGGGCTGGGTGGCCTCAGCATGCCCACGGGCAGAGCAGAAATGGAGGCCCCTGGAGCAGGGGCCAGGGTGCTCAGCAGCTGGAGGTGTCCTGCTCGTGGTGCTGCTAGAGCTGCAGAGACACCAGAGTTACACTCCTCCAGTGACAAAAGTAGGGGGGAATGGTGATATTTGCCTCTAAGATGATGATTCAGCTTGAAAGCTGGAATTTCTTTAACATACATGGCAAATGCTTCCCCACAATCAGTATGTCTGGTCTGTTGTGTTCTGTGTCAGCTGGGAGGCAAGCTTTGCAGAGCTGAGCTGCTTTACTTTCCTTTTGAGAATGAAAGTAGCACTGCTGTCAGAAGATTAAGCTGTTGGTGTGTATCAGGTGATAGGAAAAATGACCCTGAAACTGCAAAAGGTCTGATGCTTTGTATACTTGGGAGCTGCAAGCGTTGCTTTGCTGTTTGTTTATCTGTTTGCCATACTGATAGCTTAAAAACACATATTACACTCCGAGTAACAACTCCAAGGGGTAAGGCTGCTGTTACTACTTGGTTCCTCCTAAAGATTAAACAGAGCTAGGAGCTGATACATTGACCTATTGCTTCTCAAAGCAGATCTCTGTTCGAATTCTGACCTACGTCCCAGCTACAAATGTGCTCAATCTTTCCTTAATTTGTAATAGATACTTGTGTGCATTTCAAAACCATCTCGCAATTTGGCAAATTAAGTTGTCTGTGGTTAGCTCTGGAATTGCAGAGATATTGCAGTGCACTGCAGCGTTGCATAACGAGCTTCCCCAGATTTTGCCTTACTCGAGTGAGTAACAGTAATCCTTATCTCGAGCGAGCATCAGATTCATCCCATTTTTGAGAAAAGAATTAGTATCAAATATACGATAGGCATGTTATGCCTTGTGGCTGCAATGTTTTTTCAATTAACTTCTCTGAATATACCACAATGAAAAGTGTCAGCTTTTTGCCTCAGAGGCCTATAATTAGATTAAATGAATACAGTTAATTATCTACTACCTTCTTTACACAAAACAATATGTTTCCATAAATTAAAATGCTGGTACACGAAGGAAATTGTTGTTCACTCCAATATAGGCATGCAGTGCTTGGATTGTGAATGCTGTGAATATATGACAGGGTAGCACAGCTTTTTTGTCTGCAGCCCTTATTTTACAAGAGCTAAACCAAATTACATCTGAGAAATCCACAGGCATCACACTATTTAGAGCATATATGTTGGAGCAAGGAGGCGGTATCATTAAAAGTTACAGCGCTCATGAAACAAATACACTTTTCTCTTTCACTGATGTTCTCTATAAAATTCCCTGAGAGAGATTAAATACAGCTTTATTTGCACACACCTACAGTCACACCCTCGAGAACTATGGTGTGTCCAGATATAAAGCTGCTTTTTTCTAGCAGAGGGGACTTCTCCTTTCAGAAATTAATAAGAAATAATCCATTTTGTAGGAGGCATTCACAGTTAACAGCTCGGTTTCCAGGCCTGCTGCTATTCCAGCCAGCATGGACTGAAAATCCCCTCTGCCTGCTCTCCAGCGTTACTAAATAGAAGCAAAAGTTCACGACCGATCAATATGCTCCTGTCCTGGCATGCCTGATTGGGAAGCGCAGCTATTCAAGCGGTGGCACATCACCTCGGTGGCAACATACCTAAAGCAGAAAGCACTCTCCTGGGTTTGACAAAGTGTACCCAAATGTCCCTATTTCCATCAGAATAGATGTTAATAACTTAAGGCCTAAACATGTGATCCTCCCTCACCAGAAAATGACAGTTAACTTTAGCAGAAGCCCTCATTCCAGCCTGCACTATACTCTGCGTGTAAATGTGATGTGTACCCAGAATTGCTCTTGTAGGGTCAAACCCTAAAAGCTTCCGAACACTCAGCATTTCTATAGGGCATCACATTTTACTGTGGTCTGGGCTGGGTGAGTATCTTTTCCTTTAAACATTCATTAGCTCCGTGGATGAAAGTGTTCATTAAAATATCACTGTGTTGATCTTAATATTGAGGAGTGACAGGGCTGCTTTGCCATATAAATGCTGCCCCGTTTTCTGCTCTCAGGGTGTAACAGGAGAAAGAAAGACCATTTTGATAGGCACTATCTGCTGAAGGAAAACTTCACCAGGAGCTCTGCATTGACTTTAACCTTTTAGTGGCCGCACTGCGAAGCAGAATGGTTCATGCTTCCCACACAGGTTTGTTTAAAATACTCATAAATATCAGCAGCCCTCCTAATTGCTTCTGCAAATATCAGAAAGCAGTTACGGAGGCATAAAGAAATGCGACTGGAAACACGGTTCAGTGGTCTTGTACTTCCCTGAAAAGCTGATTTTGGCTGATTCAGTTGCTTTCAGAGGGAATTTACCCTTTTTGGCAGTCTGAGTTTCAGCAGTGCTGATTGGACTGACGGCCGAAAATGCATCTGGGGCTGAGGAAATGAACCCGGGGTCTTTGTATGTGTCTCAGGCTGAATTTTGCCTGCGAGCTCTGGGTTTTGTCTTTTAGCCCCTCAGTGTCCCTGGCTGTGTGGGATTCAGAACCCATTTTAACACTCCTTTCAACCCCGAGACGTTCCATCTATGCTTTTGCAGGTGCCTTGCCCAATTCCCTGCTTTCCCTGCCTGATTTAGGATAAGCACTGATGAAAGGTCAAGGTTATTCTGAAGTATCCAACCCAGGAGAGTTCTCTCCCTCGTCATTCCTTAAGATGAACTTCGCACAACTACAACTGATACCGTGCTGAAAGGTAATTCAAACGTTCTAGGAAGAAGCACAGGCTGACAAACAGTGACCTTTAGCACTGGGAAACGTCCCTGGTGATTTGCACTTGGTGCTTCTTCAAAACGCAAGGAGCCATCTTACCACTCAGGGCCATGGCAGAAGTTAGTTCTTTTTCGAGTGGAGCTCTGTAAATCAGGTCTGCAGAGGCAGACTTGGCACATGTGGCTCTCAGAAACGTGCCGTGGGGTTCACATCGCAAGATAATTTCCTCGCCTCTGTGATATAGAAACCAAGAAGGGTGGCTGCTGATTCATTTTGCTTCCCTGCTCTTTCTGCTCTCTGTCATTTCCAACAAAAGGCGCTCAGCCTGGCAGATCCACCTTGCTTCCCGTTTTGTTAAGGAAACCTGGGGATAAACCTGCTGCTGTTTGTCTTCTATGTAGGAAGAGATGCTTGTGCATCCCTGAAACCTCGGGGTTAGCGGGGAGGGAAGCCCGGGAGCGCCGCAGCCCGGGCAGCAGCCACAGATACGAGTCATAACCATCCCCCCCGGCGAGACGTGGGTCCCTTTCTGTGCTGTACTCACTGCGGCGGAGGGGCTGCGGAGGCATCGGGGTTATGCAGAGGAGGCTCCAGTCCGGGCTGCGGGGAGCGGGAGGGAAGAGAGCAGAAGCAGGAGAAGGGGAGGGCTGGAAGGAAAAGGGGCTCCAAATAGCTAAGAAACGCGACGGCCTCAAGCAGTTACGGGGCCGGGGGGGTGGTGGGGGGTACCGGGTGCGGGGTGCCCGGTGCGGCGGAGCGGGGACGCGGAGCGGCGGCTGCCCCCGGGGGGGGGGGCGTTCATCGGGGGATGGGGGGGGACGGGGACGCGAGGCGGCGGCGGAGGAAACAAAATAAATAAGATGAGACTGTTGGGGAAGGCGCGTAAATTTAAAACTGTTTGGACAGGAAGAGCGAGGGCAGGGGAACCGCAGCGCTGAAATAACGGTTTCGGGGCCGGCCGCGCCACCCCCTGCCCCGCTCCCCCCCGCTCCCCCCGGGGCCGACCGACCTGCCCCGACCCTGCGGCCGCCCCCCCCCTCGGGGAGCCCTCCGGGAGCTGCACCGACATTTTGAATGCGTGTGTATTGGAGGCTGGCGGGGAACCCGGCTCTCTCCCTTTCGCTCTTGCTCCCTTCATTCCCCCCCCCCCCCCGTTTTTATGCCGTGCCACGGTGTAACAGTCCTCACAAATAAACGCCGCAGCTTCTTCCCTCCCCTCGCTGGCTATTGCGATTCCCCCCCGCCACCGAGGGCATTTCAGCGCTGTAGGAAGTCGATGATAATACGTGGCTGCTTCTGGCTGCCCAGTGAGCTGCCAGGTACGTTCGTGGAGGAGAGCCTTTGCTTTCTTCGCAAAGCTAAAAAGCGGTGGGCTTCCAGCGGTTTAACCCCTTCTTCACGCCAACTACGCAGCGGCGTTTCCTACGACGCTCATTCCACCTCCCACCGTGGAATAAAGCACTGATTCCTCTCCTCTCCCCACGCTGAAAACTGGAAGGAAAGTCTTTCCGTGTCCCTAAATGTGCAGTTATTTCCTGAGTTGGGTGCCCCCTCCGAAGTCCCTGAACCCTCAAGGGCTTTCCCCCTCTCTCCCCCCCACCCACCCCGGTGCCAGACAGGCCCTTTCCACCCTCTCAGCAAGCTGCTGCCACACATTAAATCCGTTTTTTCCCCCCTGTAGGATCCCTTTGCAGGATCTGGCCCTTTCCCAAAGGAATTCCACAGCCCCCGCCGTTGTTCCGAGGGTGATTCAGAAGCAAAGGTCAAGTGCAACGGCTTTGCTCATCCGTGGAACTGAAATAGGGGAGAAGGCTCTTTCCCCACAGCTCTGTGCTCCCGCAGCCCGCTCAGGGTGAATCCTGGTACAGCGACAGCTCCTGCTCCATTTCTTCCCATGTTTCTGCGCTTGCTGTATTTATTTCCATGTATCCACCTCACCTCGATCCTATATTGGTCACTGCCTCTCCCTGGGCTATTGCAGGACAATCTCTGCTCCTGCCTGGCAAACTCGCTCTTCGTTTGGCTTATGTCTCAATAAAAGCCTTCGGAAAGATTTCGTTCCACCCCACACACTGCAGGTTCGTATCCTGTTATCTTCCCAAAGAGGCGAGTTTGTGAACCTGGACCCTCTGATGTTGCCAGGCTACTTGGGAAAAATCACACCAGCGACTTCTGCAACCACATCCGACACCAGAATCCTTGTGCGGTGCCAGGATTCCCTGTCAATGAGACTCGCTTTACGTTATTTTCTCCTCGCTCAGGAAATGTAAAGACTTTTCCCTGGTTTTACTGACCTTCTCCCTGGTTTTAGCTGACCCAGCCCTAGCAACAAGGCTCCTTGTATAACCTGCAGACCCCATAAGGTGCATGCAACCCACCACCTGATTCCTCCCTTGGTTTCCCAGAGGCTTCCTGTAGTAACCATGAACTTCTTGGGGCAATTTTCGCATTTCAAAATATCTCAGTAGGAATTTCAATTTACAGTATTCTTTCCGAGAAATGGAGTAGTTTACAGGGAAAACGCAACAGAGAAAGGAAATAAACCCTACCTTTAAACCGGGCTTTATAGCATATCAGAAGTGACTCACCCCTAACGCCATAGGCGTGACCGGGGTGTAACATGTCCTGGCTGTAAACGTGAACTTCTGGCACTCAATAAACGCCGCTATTCCTGGCTAGCCGAGGCATTTTGCTCGGAAAAGCAGTTGTTTTATTAAGCCACTGCTTAAACTTTGGCTTAGCGTGAATTAAACGCTGATGGAGCTCAAAACGGGGTTGGTAGGAAGGGTTTTCTAGCAACACAGGTGAAAAATAACTGAGAAACTCATATTACCTTTCCGATGGGAGAAATCCTGGTGGAAGAGCGGATTTCTGCTCCATGGGAGGAGTGCGGGGCACTGGTTGGAGAAGGAGAAAGCTTGGGGCATCCTCCAGGACATGAGGAAAGGAAGACGGAGAGCAACAGCGTTTGGGTCACTCCACCTCGGGGACCTGCTGATTACGTTGCTCGGGTTTAATGCTTCGGATGGGTTTAATGCTCTTTATATTGCGGGTTATTGCCCCTGTGCCAGCCGCCGGGGTTAATGATCCGTCGTCAACAAAAAGCGGTAACAAAAGCGCGCAAAACTCCGTATTTCACAGAGGTTTTTAATCAGAAAACACAGCAGCGTGACAGAGCGGGTGGTAAATGTGACAGGCAGCTTCAGCAGAGCACTTCTTACTTGATAAACGGTAGTAATTGAACTGGGGGGGGGGGTGTGTGTGTAAAAATCTCCGGTTTTTTTAAGAGTTAAAATCTAAACTAAAGTACACCCCCTCCTTTTTTTAAGTGCTATTTTCAGTACGGTTCCTTCCACATCGATTTAAAACCTTCTATTTTGCGCAACTGAAATTTAGGCAATTCAGAATAAAGCACTTGAAACTGCCCAGCTGTGCAACAACTGGAACCTGTACAAACGTTATAAGTTGCATACTAAACTCCTTCCAATGCGATGCTAAGTGTCCTCAGCTCCTAACGTTGTAGCTGGAGAAGTAAATGGGTCTGGTGAATCCTCTCAGCTGTATTGCAATGGGAAAAATTCAGTGGTTAAATCGGGTTTTAGGTGCAAGCAATAACATGATTTCCCGAATACCGAAGTGCTGCTTCCTAAATGTCACTGTATCCCGATATTCCTGCTTTGGGAGATGCATCTGTCATTGAGATAGTTTATTTCCAGGCAGAACAGAACAGCTGGTGAAAGCAAATATTCCTTAAAGAGCATCTAAACTGCACTCAGTTTATGAAGCGACCAGAAAACGTGTTGCATCGCAGCCCCCGCATCCTCCTGCCTCTGACAAAGGTTCTCTGCTGCTTGTTTTGAAACTAGAAAACTCCTCTCGTTCAGTGCACAGTAAACACGAACCACTCAACTGGGCTGTTTGAAACCTCTGGCAATCAGAACACCACCACTTACACTCTTTCTGGTAACTCAATTCAAAACCAGGTTGGTGGAAGTTTAAATACTGAAAGGGGAAAAGTGTCATCTACGTTTGGAAAGCGAGTGACCTACTGCTACAAGCTGTTGCTAGTGTCAAAACGCAGCTATTCCCCAAAGCCTCTAAGCGCCGTCCTCTGTCCTCAGGCCAAGCAGCCTTTGACTTCAAGCTCTGCCCGAGCAGGGAGGTGCAGGTTACCCCTCGAAAAGCTGTTTTAAGCCAAAAGCAGGTTTTCAAACCCTTAAGCCTGACTAATAAGGGATGGCGAAAGGAGGGCATTGGAGGGGGGGGGGGGAGCTTTGAGAGGTGAGAGAAATCACAATAAGCTCTTTTCTTTCCTTAAAAACCCAGCAACATTAAGCATGTGAATATGTATTAATGACTTAATACGAATGACCTACAATAAATCCTAAAACTTGATACTTGGAAAACTAGGTATGAGCTACCGGCATGTACACGGCTGAGTCTGTGAGTAGGCTGTAAATGGCAGGCATAAGAAATCGCTGGGAGCGCGGGTTTAAAGCGTTTCTGTTACTTGTAAACCCACCTCTAGAATTTCTTGAGACTTACACTATCAGCTGTTCAGGAGTGGGGGAGAAAAAAATAATATATATATATATATAATAATAGAAGTAAGGTTGCAACGAATGTTATTAAAAAGGAGGAGGAGAACAAAAAAATACTGAGGAGGGTGAAGGCTCAGTGTCCGAGTGGGGCTTAATCCATGGCTGCGGGGGAGAAGCTGCTGCCCTCCAAGAGCTTCACCACGGCAGATCTCTTGTAGAGCTTGGCCAGGTCGTAGGCAGTGGCCCCCCGCTTGTTCTGGTGGCCCACCTTGCACTCCGCACGGGCCAGAAGGACCTCCACCACCCGAACGTGCCCCTCCCGGGCCGCCAAGTGCAAGGGCAGGTTCCCCTCATCATCCTCGATGTTCACATCAGCCTTGAACTCCAGCAGAGTCTGCAAAGTGTCCAGAAACCCCTCTCTGGCTACATCATGAATTACAGCAAAGCCAGTACTGTCCTTCAGATTGGGGTTCGCGCCGCTAATTAGCAACCTCCGGGCAATTTCGGGGTTCCCCAGCTTCATCACCTAGGAGAGATGAAGAAGAGTTGAATACCGAGGGATGGGGTGGGGGAATTGCTCCAGCACAGGGTTTAGATGCTCAGTGCTTATCCCTGGGTTCTGCTTCGGCTCAAATCCTCATGTCAAGCAGACAGGGGAGCCCCCCTAGAAAGCTAACGGCACAGCAGAACATCTGGTTTTTCATGTATTTTTCACTAAACCCGGTTAAAGATGTTATCACTTCGGTGGTAATGGCTTTCTGTCTCAGAGAGATTAATGACTGGAGGAGGTGACATAGAATGGAGATTTTTATACCATTATTATAATTATAATTATTATTATTATTATTATTTGATGTGGGTTATCTCAGTTTCTCAGCACACAAACATTAAGCACGGTTTGGTTTCATTTGCCTGAGCACTGAGACACCTTTGCATTACTCTTTAATCTCCTTAAACACCCAGCCCAGGGTCTCTGAGGAGCAGATATTTCACCTCAGCAACAGCAAATGTGCCGTGTGTTTTTATAAGCTCTCAGGTGTTTACATTGTCTGTGCATTATCATAAAACAAATATTTGCACTGTACCATAGCTCTGTCTGCTAAGACAAATAAATGCTACAAGAAATTTTCCCTCCCTTATATTTGTGCTGCGTTAGGTCACCCAAAAAGGAGAAGTTACAAGGAATGTCTCAAAGTCCCAGCAGTTTCCTTCTCAACCCAGTACATTACATTCTACTTTCATCATTTCAATCTGAGCAAACCGTGGCTATATTCTGCTGTTAAAAACAGCCCTTTTTGAAAAACAACAACAACAATAATTGGATTTTCTGTTTCTCTCAGAGAGGGGAAAAAAAAAGCTTATTTGAATTTTTTCAGTTGCGTCATAAAACTATCATAATTCGAACCCAAATCTCTCGTATTTGGGACTTCACATCTTGCACCGATTCCCCCTAAATTCCTATATTTTTTTGTCAGCACAAAGGGGTTTTTTACATGAACGCAGTAATGTATAATCTCCAGCCTATGGGCAGCATTTTCCTGTCCTTGCCATTAGTCCCAGTGCAAGTGTCAAATTCGAGTCAAAACAACAATAAAAACCTTTTTTATTTCCTGAGAAACGCCAAAAGTGATTTGAAAATCTTGGTAAAAAAAATTATCTGCATAAACGAGCATGACAGTGCCTTGGGTTTAGCAAAAGGTACGATTTCTACAAGGGGTTTTGCTGTAAAACTCTCCTGGTGAGAAATCTCGGTTAGGCTGTTTAAGAAAAGCAAGCTATAATAAACACAATTAGTGCAGCATGTGGGCTGTAAAGCAGCCCGGTATATTCTATCTACAGACCAGAGAAAAAGTGCAGATAAGACAGGCTGGGATTCAGGGAAAAAGATCTGGGATTCAGGGAAAGGGATCTCTCTGTGCCCCAAGGCTTCCAGCTGCCTGTGTGCCACTTCTTTCACTTCTGACCAGAGATGGAAGAGATGTAAAAGAAAACAAGGGCATTGCGATCTCTCTTTCTTTAGTAAAATCCGGACATTTTGATCTCTTTTGGAGAGCCCAGGCTGCATTATTTGGGAATTCAAAACATGTATTTGGGAGTTTTCTGTGTTCGGCTCAGAGGACCAGAGGCTTCAGTTACAGATGGGGGGGGGGGGGGGGGGGGGGGGAGAGAAAATCATCTAAAAGGTGATGCTCGTGGGTCGTGGGCTACAACTGCACAGCGAATGCCCTTTATTTTGCAAAGTTTCACTCGAGGGGAGGGAGGCAAGGAAGGAGAAAGCATTAATAGAATAAGGCTGACGAAAAGCATTAGGGCAGGAGATGTATTTGAGGCCTGCATAGGTACACTTCACCAGGAATAAAAAGGACAGAGCAAGACAAGCTGAGCAGTTGTTTAATTCAACATAAATGCAGGAGAAAAATATAAATTCATTGGTATTAATCCAGGAGCATTCACCCCGTTTTAATTGAGGGAGAGATTATAGAGAGATTATCTCCGTTTGGGAGAGGGCACTGACAGAGAGCTCTTTCGAGTGTGGTCGATGATACATATTGAAAATAAGTCGACAGATTCCCCTGTTCTGATTTTTGCCGTGGTTCATTAACTCAGATATAATTAGGCAGCGATAAGAAGCATTGTTAGGACACAGATGTGTGTTTAAATAGAGCTGGGTGCTGGATCATTGTGTAAAATATGCCTTAATGCAGGATACGGACAGTTAGCTGCTTTTAAGGGGAAAAAAATAAATACACTACTGTGGGACAAATCGGTTTTCAGCCCCTGTCCCCAGGATAAACCAGCTTGATGAATGTTTCCTGCTTTCTTAAAGAAGTTAGTTTGTCTAAGTTGTTAATTTAAACCCTTTCACTCTCTTAAAAGTTGCTGCAAGTTGCGCTGCCCTGCGCTGCCCTATTTAGGTGTTAACAGGGCAGAGAGGAGCTCACAGAGCCCCAGCTCCAGCGAAATGGTCAAAAAAGGGTCAGTGCTGCTTTTTTAGCAAGAGGGGCTCATTTTCCAGCTC